TTTCCCTTTGGGAAATAGATACATCTTCTTTAGGAATTATAAATTTAATTCAAAACAGAACAGTTGAGAGCTGAGTTTGTACTTTCTTTAAAATGATCTTAATACGAAGTACTTAATACTTAGTGCTGGCGTTCTACAGTTAAGATGTGTTTATTTTCTTGCAACTGTGATTTGAAAAAACTGAAATTTAATATGCTTAAATGAAAAGGGAACTTATTAACTTATATAACTAAAATGTCTAACTTTAGTTCAGGCTCCACTGGATTAGGATTTTGGTCACTTCCTCTGAGTTCTGACCTATTCCATGAATTGTCCTTGTCCTCAAGTTGGCTTCCATCATGATAGACAAATGGTTTCCGGAATATCTTAGGGCTACTGACTTCATTGTTCCTATCCAGAGCACATGTCTACCCTCAGCCATGAAACAAAAGTTTTGATCTTCACTCTATTTGGACCAATTGAGGTTATAATTCCCCTTTCTGAGCCCCTAACCAAACAATTCCTGAGGTTAAAGGAATTTCATGAATTTATAGTTTGTGACCTGGAATAAGTGTCCATTTCTAAATCATGATGGAAAGAAAGACTGTCACATTACTGATGTGAATTAGGAATGATTGAGTGAGGACAGCATGAGTAAAGTGAGTTTCTTGGACCTGTTTGATGTCTTTCATTATTTTTGAAATATTCTGTCATTATATTTTCAAATACTTCTAAAGCTCCATTTCTTCAAATGTGCATATGTAGGATTATTTGATATTGTTCCACAGCTTTTGGATGCTTGGATATTTGTTTTTTACACCTTTTTTTCTCTGTTGTATATTGGTTTGGATGATTTGACCTTTTCTCAGCTGTGTTGACTACACCAATGAGTCCATCACTCATATTTTGATATTTTGAATATCATAGGATTTTTCCCCTAGCATTTTCATTTGACTCTTTTTATTATTTTTTGCTTGTTTGTTTCTGTTGTTGTTTTTGTGACAGGCTCTTGCTCTGTTTCCCAGGCTAGAGTGCAGTGGTATGATCATAGTTCACAGCAACCTCAAACTCCTGGGCTTGAGCCATCCTCCTCCTTCAGCATCTTGAGTAACTGGGACTATAGGTGCTTGCCACCATGCCTGGGTGTTGAGGTCTCATTTTGTTGTCAGGCTGGTGTCGAACTCTTGGGCTCAAGCAATACTTCTGCCTTGGCATCCCAAAGTGCTGAGATTATAGGTGTGGGCCACTGCTCCCAGCCTATTCCACCAGTTTAAATTATATATGCAAAGTCCTTTTGCCATATGAAGTAACATATTCATTCACAGGTTCTAGGCATTAGGATGTGAACATCTTAGAGGGGCCTTTATTCTGCCTAACACAGTGAGCACCCCTATTGAGGCCACATGATGTAGGTTGTCTGGCTACCTCAGTGTAGCCATTTTTCCCAATGCTACAGTGCCAGGATGTTCATGACCAAAATCATTTCCAGTTTCAGTTACATTCTAGAATCCCTCATCTCGTGACTTTCATGTCCTTACTCATGGGCAAGGAGGAAGTCCCTATCACTTCTACTCTCAAGCCCCACCCCCATGCCCTTTCATCCACAGGAAAACCCCTCCTCTTACATTGTGTTTTTCCTCTGTAAGTAACATAACATTACTCCACTGCTTAAAACACTTCAATGCCTTCCCATTGGATTTGTTACAGTACTTAACAGGTCCTGCAGGATCTAGCCCTTGTACACCTTTCCAGTCTTCTGTTGCTTATTGCACTGCTGCCACACTAAATTTCTTTTAGCTCCTCAAATGCACCAACTTTTTGTTTGTTTGTTTGTTTGTTTGTTTTTGCTACACAGTCCTCACATATACAGTACTCTTCCCTTTCTTTAAAATGCTCTTATTCACACACTTCATCTGGCTAACTCAGGTCTCAGTTTAAATGTCACTTCTCCCATCCAAGTACTAACCAGGCCCAACCCTGCTTAGCTTCCAAGCTCAGATACATTCAGGGTGGTATGGCTGTAGACTACATGTTACTTCTGTGGTGACACTTTTCTTGTGTTTTCAATCTAAACCATGTCCTTTTGTTATTCTTGCCCATAGCACACTGATATTTTCCTTATTATTTTCACTTGTCAAAAAGTGTGGTGTGTGTGTGTATTTTGTAAGTTGTAGGTTCTTCAAAGGACTCCAAGTTCTGTAACAGCAGGAATCATCTACCCAGCACTTAGCATACTCTGGCTCATGTGGGCAGGCAATATTTATTGCATAAATAAATTCCCATTGCCATAGTACAGATTTTAATTCTTTCCAATAAAGTTTATAAACTCTTTAAGAGCAGACTTTGATCTTCCACAGCCCAGTAGGCAGTGTCTTGGACACAAGTAGGTAGGTGTTCCATAAATATTTATTCAATGAATCTTGAATTACTAATCTAGACTCCACTTTCTCTTCTAATTCACATAGCATAGAATGTGACTGATTAAAGTTCACAATTCCTTATTGATAATGTTACATAAATTTTTAGGATTGTCAAATTTGAGAAAATTTCCCATGGGTCATTTAATATATAACTTAAAAGAATTCAAGACCTATCAGGTTTCTTTAAACTGATGACATGCTTTAGTTTGTTGTGGATGCCCTCATTAAATTCTGAGAGAAAATTTAAACAATTTTTTGACTAGGTATTGAAAAAGACTAAATCTTTAATTAAAATTTTACACAACCATGCTGGGCACAGTGGCTCATACCTATAATCCCAGCAACTTGAGATGCTGAGGCAGGAGGGTTGCTTGAGGCCAGGAGCTCTAGACCAGCCTGGGCAACACAAAGAGACCCTGTCTCTAGAAAAAAAAAAAATTACAAATCTAATAATTGGAAGAATTTCCCACAAATTAGCTTTAGGTTCCCTAAATTTCAAACCTGCTTCTCTTCCACTGTTTACATATTTTTTTGATGTCAGAACATTGGATGCATTCAAATAACTAAAAGAGGTCTGGCCCTGCAGTTTTCTTTGTTTTAAAGTGCTGGGTGGGTCAGCACAATGGGCGATAGGAGTATTCTTGGAAGCCACTGGGACAGCTGGCAATATTTTAACTACACATGGAAGTGACTGTGGGTTACAAAAATATATCCCAGTAAACTCAAACCAAATGTATCCCTAACTCAAATTCCCTTGAGTTAAATTTCAAAAATGTCTGCTAGCCACTCCAACATCATTAGAGAAGGGGAAACATGGAGAAAGGAAATCACTCAGGACTAAAGACTGCAGTTAAATCACCTTACTTTTGTACATTTTACAAAAGCATATCACTGTGTGAACATATGGCTAGGGTCTCTTCCAGGGACTTAGCAATGGCTAGTGCAAATGAGGGCCCCTCTTTGGCTACACAGTAAATCTGCCTCAGAGTCTAGAGCCATTTTAACTACCAAGTAAATTGTCAATTTTCAGAGTCAGCTCTACCACAGGACCAGTGGATATGTAGATTACAGCTCTATTTGAGGCAAAGATTTTCTAACAAGAAGATATCTTTGCCTCTATGTCAAAGGGCTCCCCACTATTTATTTAGACTAGTGGTTCTCAAACTCTTTGGTCTTATGACCATTTTACACTCCTAAAAAGTATTGAGGACTCCAGAAAGCTTTTATGTGGATCATATCCATCAACATTACTGTATTAGGAATTAAAACAAAAACATGAAATATTTATTAATTCCTTAAAAACAATAAAATATGTGATATGTTACCATAAATATTTTTTAACAAAAGTAACTATTTTCCAAAGCAAAAAAATTTAGTGAGAAGAGTGGTATTATTTTACATTTCTGCAAATCTCTTTAGTGTCTGGGCTAATAGAAGATTTTATATCTGCTTTTGCATTCAATCTGTTGCAATAGCATAGGACATGTAGTCTTTGAAAACCCCACTGTATTGTTATTAGAATGAAAAGGGCAAATAAGTCTTAGTATGAAATTAATTTTGACCTTGTAGACCACTCTTTGAGTGCCACTGATTTAGACATCCCTATATTTACTTTTTAGTTGCCTGGGGCTCCCAAAGTACCCCCTCTCTGACTCTTGCTGTAACTACATAAACAAATTCACCTCCCAGATAAGGGTCAAATGTTAATTACTGCTGCATTTTTTTAGCATACATGGAAAACTACAGAAACAACAATTTTTAATGAATAACAATTCTTAGGGAAGTCATTTTTCTCTTTCACTGACAAGGAAAAAATTATTTTCTTCATTGTCTGCACCCTAATAGTAATGTTCTCCTCTTTTGGGAATACTGTATACTTGAAGCAAATCTTAGACCAAGACCAAACACAACGTTGGGTGCTTTATATAAATTGCCCAATGCTACAGCAATATCTAATATTTACTAAGTCCTTCTGTGTTTGAGGCATGTTTTAAGTGTTTTATATACAATTATCTCATTTTATTTTCACAATAATCTTACAAGATGGATAATACTGTCATTTCAATTTTATAGGTGAGTAGTAACCTGAGAGAGGTTGTTGATGCCTCGTGTAGTACAAAACTGAACCAGGATCTGAAACCAGATAATCTTACTCTGGAGCTCTCAGTCTATTATATAACGACAAAGTATAAAGATGAGAGATAGAGTGAGATTAGTATAAAATGACTGTAGAGGTGAGAGAGGGAGATTAGCAAAGCAAGAAGACTTTTAGGGCCAAGACTACTGTGATACCAAGACTGAAAGCACTGTATTATTTCGACACCCCCCCCCCCCGCAAGAAAATTCTGCTTTATTTTCTACACGTCCATGTATTACTTTTTACACTCTCAAGTTCCTCTTCTCATTTTAAGCCATTTCACTGCTGATAGCTCCGTCGCTTAGGACTGACGCTGACCCTAAAATTAAGGAGCGAAATTCAACAGGAGATTGGGGGAGCAGGGCGGGGGGAAAAAAAAAATCCGGTGGTAACCACGGTAACACTGGGGGGGGGGGGGGAAGGCGAACCCTGCGCAGGCGCGTTACATCCCAGGCCTGCTTGCCCACCCCTGGGCTGCCCGCCCCAGCCCCTCCTCTCGGCCTCAGACTACACGGGCGGGCCACGATGGGGGCCGGAGGGAGTCCGGGGCTTGGCGCCTGCGCAGTCGCTGGGGCGCGGGTGTGATCGAGCTCACGTAGCGAGGGCTGCAGTCGCCACCTCCGCGGCGCTGCCGTTGCGGCCTAGAGGTTATAAAAGGGCTAACTGGCTCCCTCTGCTGCCCAGTCGCGCCGCCAGCGGGCTGAGGGGAGGGAGTAGGTAACCGGCCCGAGCGCAGGCGAGAGGGGACACAAGAGCGCGCCACCCTCCCGTCCCACTTTACAGGTGAGACGCTCCCTCGACCTCGGAGGCTGAAGTTGAGGCCCGTGGGCAGCTGTGGTCTGTCTCGGACGGCGGCGGCGACCCGGACCGCCCCGCTTGGGTGGGATGTCTGGGGCCGGGGCTTCTCCAGTTTACCACAGCAGCCTCGGTACCTTTCGCTCTGGAGACTCGGCCCCTCGCCTGCGCCACGCGACTCCGGACTCCAGCGGCCCGGCTGCCGGTCTCCTCCGCGCTCCCCTTCCCACCTCCGCCCCCGCTGCGCCTCGGACCTTTGGGGCTGAGGCTGCCTCAGTCCCCGCCCCAGGGACCAGGACTTTCTTGAATTTTCCTTCCCGGGGAGGAATCACCCTGTTGATTTCTCCAAGCTGCCCTCGCACCTGGTCGTCCGGCGAAGCCGAGGGGAACGCCAGGGCGGGGCGTGGTTTTTTGGCCGCCACAGCCGCAGATGGTTAGCGTGCGGCAGCGGAAAGTGGGTTTTCAAGCTGGAGCACTCCAGGCATCTTTGCCCTATCGGAAAGTCTTGGGTCTGGGGAGTGGATCTACCCAGAAAGTTCTGGCTCAACTCAGCTGTTGCACGCGGCGGTGCTTCCTCAGCAGCTAGACATAGCCCGGGGCGCCGAGTTTCGGGCTGCTCGCGCGGAGGAAGTCGCCTGTCAGGTCCCCTGGTAGTCGGGGAAGTTGGGCTTCTTCCTTCCTTCTTCCACGTAAAAAATTTTTAAAGGTTCCCCGCTCTCTCTGTCTTTTGCAGCTTTTAAAAGTCCACACCAATCAAACAAATTCCATGGTTGTCCGAGAATTTTGAGTTAGGATTACAGGTCTGGCCCCAGATGTGTGTTTCAAGGGGGAGGAGGGATGATGGTGTGATAAGTACGAGACTGCTTTTCCTAAATAATTGAATGTGTTAAATACCAATCCAGTTTTTAGACGCTAACATCTTAATGCATTCCGGATAGAGTGGAGAAGACTCCTGGAATTTTGCGCTGTTTTCTTTAAGAAAGGGCTGAAGGAGCAGCTAGATCCTCTTTTAGGAATTGATCTAAAAGGCCAGAGACTTGCCAGTTTCAAACAGTTTCACTTAACTGTTTCTGGTTTCTCCGAGAGCTGTGGTTCTTGGACTTTTCCCCTGGAATGCACTCTGAAGGGATGAAATAGCCACTACGTGAGTGGGGGAGGGGGAAAGACGTGGCAGCAGTGTTCTTTCATCAACCTTTTGGTCAATTTTTTTTTAAGGTTCTGGGAAGAAACGTATTTCTCTTTTAGGGTTAGATGTAGCTTATGAATGAGGCTAGTCTTTTCCTAAAATAATCAGATGAAAAATTGAGTCTGCATAGCAGGAACATTGGAAATTAACTTTAAAAACATTTTAAAAGGATTTTTTGATCAAGTTTCTATGGATAAAATGGATGCTTTAAGCAGAAAATATTCAAGAAGCTGAAAGTGAACAATCTTAAATATGTTTTGTCTTGATTTGAAATGTGAATAGACATTCTGTGATTTTTCTCTAATTTTGGCCTTTTGCCTGTGAGTGTGATTTTAGAACCTTAAATATGAACTTCAAATTTTACGTTTTTCTTTCTGTGGGAAGCATAGATTTTATCACTTTTAAAGTCATGTCAGTTTTGGTTTTGGAACATTGTGCCTTAAGTCCCGCGCATTGTCTCTGATGGCTGATGGTAAATGCTTATTTGATTTGCATAGACTCACTAGGAAAAGGACCATTTTTATCTCTTTTAGATGGATTGTGCTGTCTCCATTGACAGCTTGAAATGAGTTTTATTATGAGGTACTGAAAACAAGACTTTGGTAAGAGGATAATTACATTGGTCATTTTGTATTTTGGTAACTTAGGTGGTAAAACAGATGAAAAATGTGTACAGCTTTTAATTATTGCAAAGAAATTTAGGCACTGCAAAAGGCTATTGAAAAAAGAAAGTTTTATATCAGCTATGTAGGCCAGGTTGTTGCAGTTGAATCTTGGCTTTTTGGTAAGGGGTTATTAACCTTTTCTATTGATAAGATAGAAAGGTAGGTTAACTTATCAGTAGAAAAGAGTAGATTGTCTACTGATAAGCAGTATCTTTCATAGGGCAATTAAGTTCAAACTACTGCTTTTATTCTAGGTTTGCGGCAAGAATTGTAACAGCATTAAGGCTTGTGAGCCTTCATTTCTGTGGAAGGAGTACCTTATTTTATTTAGCAACTAATTATCAAGTAGGATATAATTACTGCTCTTAGATTGACCTGTGAGATATATCGTAGTGGTTCTCAACCTATTTTTTAATTTATTTTATTTTTTTGGAGACAGGGTCTCACTATGTTGCCCTGAGTAGAGTGCCATGCTATCAGCCTAGCTCATAGCCACCTCAAACTCCTGGGCTCAAACCATCCTCTTGCCTCAGCCTCCTGAGTAGCTGGGACTACAGTTATGTGCCATGATGCCCATCTTATTTTTCTGTTTTTAATAGAGACAGGGTCTCACTCTTGCTCAGGCTGGTCTCGAACTCCTGAGCTCAAGTGGTCCTCACACCTCAGCCTTAGAATATATAAAAGACAAGCCAGGCTGGGCACAGTGACTCAAACCTGTAATCCTAGCACTCTGGGAGGCTGAGGTGGGAGGATAGATTGAGGTCAGGAGTTTGAGACCAGCCTGAGCAAATGTGAGACTCCGGCTCTACTAAAAATAGGAAAACTTAGCCAAGCATGGTAGTGCGTGCCTTTAGTCCCAGCTACTGAGAAGGCTGAAACAGAAGGATCACCTGAGCCCAAGAGTTTGAGGTTGCAGTGAGCTATGATGATGCCACTGCACTCTAGCCTAGGGTAATAGAGAAAGACATTATCTCAAAATAAATAAATACATAAATAAGATAAAAAATAAAAGATAAGCCAAATAAAATGGGTATGTATCCATGTGAAACTAGTTAGGGCTTTGTTTTTCTCCCCTCCCCCTTCCCCTCTGTGGCCTAGGCTGAAGTGCAGTGGTGGGATCATAGTTCACTGCAGCCTTAAACTCCTGGGCTCAAGGGATCCTCCTGAGTAGCTAGGACTACTGGTGCGTGCCACCACACCCAGCTTATTTTTAACATACTTTGTAGGGACGGGATCTCACTATATTGCCAAGGCTGGTCTTGAATTGCTGTGCTTAAGTGATTCTCCCTCAGCCTCCTAGAGTGCTGGGATTACAGGTGTGAGCCAGTTTATTTGTATAAATTGAAGCTGTTCTTAGTTTTCCTGTAGCCAAATAAATATAGTGTCTGAATAAAAACTTAATGAAACTCAAAAGGACTCTCATTTAGGTTACTCTAGCAGTGTTTAAACTTGATACAATTAAAATCATTGTTTTTGGTCTTTCTTTGAATGATCAGCATGGCTATTAGTATATTTAGTTGGACATTGGCTAAAAATACATTACAGAGATTCATGCTTCTTACATAGTTGTCATCAGCCGATGATACTATGTTGGACTTCCTTCTCCTGCTTAGTGTTTCATACAAATGTGTTCATATTTTGGTAGTTTAGATATTTCTCATTTAAATAGTAATCTTATATCAAATTAGTATACTCAGCCTTACTCTCTTAGACATTTGAGTTGTTACTTTATTGTAAGTGCAAAAAGAAGACTAATTTGATGGTTTATTTATTATTCATTTATTTATTTTTGAGACAGGGTCTCGCTCTGTTGCCTGATCTAGAGTGCAATGGCATCATTGTAGATCCCAAACTCCTGGGTTTGAGCAATCTGCCTGTCTAAGCCTCCTGAGTAGCTGGGACTATAGGCGGATGACATCATACTGGGCTTGAGCTCAGGAGTTTGTGACCAGCCTGAGCAAGAGTGAGACCCCATCTCTACTAAAAATAGAAAAAACTAGCCCCGCGTGGTGGTACGTGACCATAGTCCCAGTTGAGGTTGAGGCCGGAGGATGGCTGGAGCCCAGGAGTTTGAGGTTGCTGTGAGCTAGGCTGACGCCACAGCACTCTAGCCTGGGCAATAGAGTGAGACTCTATCTCAAAAAAATAAATAGATAAGTAAAAACCTTTTATCAGTAGTTTATTCTTCCCCCTAAAAGAATTTTGTAGGGATTAGATTGGGCTCTAAAAAGATTTGGAGTCTTCCTATATAATCTACCTGATAACAAATACTTTATTAAGTGTTTTATATAGTATATAATTTGATTCTTAAAATAATTATGTGAGGTAGTTTTATATTATCCCCATTTTACAAATGAAACTGAGGCCCAAAGAAGTCAAGAAATTTGTCCAAGAACAAAGTTGCAGAGGTAGGACTTGGATTCAGGTTGTGTATTTTCTGATTTATACTTCATGTTACTTCTTGCTTGGCAGTTGTCTAGAGTAACTCTGAGATAATAAAAGGAAAAAATAAATAACATTTGCCACTGAATTAGAAACATTTTCAATATCTAGAGTTGAAATAAAGTAGGGTTCCTGATTAGTAATTAAATTAGTCATTCCACTCAATTTAATGAACATTTTAAAGGCATTTATAATGTGCTCAGTAGACTGGGAGAATCAAAAGAGTAACGAGAAACATTTCATAGGAGAAATATGACATGAAAGTTACTTGATATACCAACATGTTCTAACATTTACTCAGTATTAAATCTGAGTGCTGAGTGGAAATGCATATCTAGATTCACATTCTCTGCAATGATGAGTTCATTTTTCCCTGTTCTAATACACATCTTATTTTGTCTATCTCAACTTAAGAACTTTGAATCTGGCATTAGAAAAAAGAAGGAATTGTAGGCTAGAAAGAGAATAGATAGACTGGAATTCGGGCTGAATAGCCTTGGAAGGGATGAAATTAAGGTCAAGTATACCTGGGCCTCAGAGCAAAAATCCATGTAGGAAGAGAAAAGGGGCTGCTATAGCTAGTTTTGGGTATTTTACTCTGAACTGATGGGCCTTGGTCTGAGTTGATGATGGTCAGATCAGAGTATATTTAACCTTTTTGTGTTAGGAATGATATTTGAATAATACTATAGGTA